ATCTCCATCGATAATTAAACCGTCCAATTACATTCCACTTTGTTTATTGAACGATCAAAATTTAGTAATCCTCTCAAATAAACAATTCAATAGGCATTCAACACTTGGTGCTAACATCATCTATTTTACCACACTAAACTAACCAAATGTATCTGGTTCAAAAATGAAGTTATTTTGATAATTCACTGAGTAACCCCACCATTAGCATACACTATCTTGTAGTCAAATAACCAATCTAACTTTCAACTGTTTCCATTCTCAAGAAAATACACTACTATCATTAGATGAGTATTGTCTTGTAATTTATAGTGTTATGAATGGACGAACATTATAAAAATTAGAACTTTTGAAACTAGTTTTCGAATTATTATCATTTACATTTTTGTTTTATAATTAGCAATTAACTACCTGGATCACTATGCCTACATTTTCCGGTTGTCATAGGCTTCTGTTTAGTCTAAGTATTATTATTATTATCATTGATGGCTTTATTCAATATTATATTTTTGGTACAATATAGAATTCTCAGAGCAAAGTATTTCAGCAAGTTTCCTTTTCTTGTTTGTTGATCAATGCTGACGATAAGTATTAACTGATCTCCAGTTAGATGTTAGCAAATCAAGAATCGACACATGAATAATGTTTATTCTTTTCAGTGCATACCGTTGCCAGAAACCACAATGTCATTGATTAGGCTTATTTGTAACTGAATAGGTTATGTGACTAATGGGCATAATGACGTATTAAAACAAACAAGAAATCAGATAACTTATTGAAATATCCAGATGGCAGGAACAGGTAGCCCAGATATTCAAATAGGCCGCCTAGTACTTATTATTCCATTTTTTATTGCTAACCGATTTTTCGCAGCTTACATTATTCACAATCACTTTTAGCTTGTTGATATATCCCGATCGAAGCTGCTACCTTGACGCGGTGGTCGGGCTTGCCTATCGTGATGACCCAACCGAGCTATATTGGCTGGAACATATGTTCCTGCAGGTTCTACCATGCCAGGCAGGTCGATTGGAGAACGGTGAGACTAAAAGCAGCAACTCAAGGTCTGAGGGCCAAGTCGTACTGCTGACTGTAGAGAGGTGTGACAGCAGTAAGGTGTTTCCCTCGGACAACCAGCATGACAGCGATGCTGCCTTCCCACAAGGAGGGGTGGGGTTAGAAAAGGTCGACCCTAAAAATGCACACCTCACCTTACCTCACGGATTTCCGTCTCCGGCGGTAAGGCCCCTTGAAGAACGGAGCTAACACGTCAAAAACCTTCCACAAAAAGGCCGTGCGCGACCGGCCTCAAGCAGTTGTCCCTTGGGCTCTGCGGTCACGCTCCCAGGTCGTCAAGACCAACACTAATCCAATTTCCTTTTCAGGTTCATCAAGAAATACCCTTCCACGGTGTGGGCAGCCGGGAAGTGACATCAGCCCTCATACCCGTAACAGCACAAGAGACCAAGGTGGTCACATTCAAATCCTTCCTACACCTCCTAATACCTCTCTTATCTTCCCGACTAACCCTCCTCACGTCTCTTTATCACCTCGCACCGCCAGGGCAAACGATTCGAGTACGTGGAACGCCATTCCTGGTCTCCTGAAACCACGCTCTAAACTACACATTGGAGCTTTTAACGTACGAACACTTTGCCAAATAGGACAGCAGGCTTCCTTAGCTAAAACTTTAGAATCTCGCGCCATCGATGTGTGCTGCGTCTCCGAAACGCGCATACAGGATCCAAGTAGCGTCATTCATTTGACCTCACCATGCCAAAATAAAGAACCGACTCGATTTACGCTTCGTGTATCTGGAAGCCCTGACTCTGCTTCCCGTGGCCTCGCCGGCGTAGGTATAGCATTGAGTCCTAGGGCAGAACTAGCTCTCTTAGAGTGGATCCCAGTAAACAGTCGTTTGTGCGCTGTCCGACTGAACGGAACAGTAAGAATCCGGAAAGATAGGGACACTCGTCGTTGCCTCTTCGTCGTCTCAGCCTATTCTCCCACTGACTGCAGCGCAGATGATGTAAAAGATGAGTTTTACAGAAAGCTTTCGGACCTTCTCCGAAAAGCTAAGCGCTCGGATGTAGTAATAGTGGCCGGTGACTTTAATGCTCAAGTAGGTAAACTAAGCGATAAGGAAAGACACCTAGGTGGATCCTATGGTGTCGTGGCTCAGAGAACAGATAATGGCGACCGTCTGTTGCAGCTATACTCAGATAACCGCCTGTTCCTTGCAAATACTAACTTTAAGCATAAGGAAAAACATCTTTTAACATGGCGACCCCCTAATTCGTCCCAACGTTGGACCCAAATAGATCACATCGCTATCAGCCACCGATGGAGGGGCTCGATTGAAGACTGTCGCTCATTCTGGAGCACATGCCTAGATTCAGATCATGCTCTAGTGCGAGCGCGTATTTGCTTGCGTCTTACTGGACGTAGGAAAGATCCTGCAAGGAAACCTCTTAGGGCCTACTTAATGATAATCAAGCTATGAGTATATTTCAGGAACAACTGGGAAAACAGTTAGGCAGCCATGTATGTGATGCCCACCCCGAGGCAGCATGGAACGATATCCGAAAAGCTGTGGAAACAGCAGTGATATCTGCTAGTAAGGTAAACCGTAAGGTTAGGGAGCAACACTGGATCTCAGCAGCATCTATCGCACTGATAGATGCTCGAAAACTCATTCCACCTGGCTCTGAACATAATGAAGAGCGGAGTCAGCTTAAGCGCAAGCTGACAAGAAGTCTACGCAATGATCGCGAACAGTGGTGGGTAGCGAAAGCAAGAGAGATGGAAAAGGCAGCGGCAATAGGTAATAGCAGACAATTGTTTAGACTCGTTAAGGAAACCGGAATTAGGAACCCGACCGTTAGCGAAACAATCTCAGAGAAAGATGGACATATTATTCATTCTCAATCCAGGAGATTGGATCGATGGGCAGAACACTTTAGGGATCAGTTCAACTGGCCTTCAGCCACACTTCGGTTTCCCACGATCTCCAGTCAACCTGAATGGCAAGTTAATGTAAGTCCTCCGTCCCTTTACGAAGTTGAAAAAGCCATAGGAAATCTGAAACGAGGGAGAGCAGCAGGCCCTGACAGGTTTACTCCTGAGATTTTTAAGGATGGTGGTCCAGTATTAGCAATGAGATTAACTGAGGTCTTAGGTAGAATTTGGAAACTGGACGTAATCCCATCTGACTGGTCTCAATCACTGATTGTGCCAGTTTTTAAGAAAAGACAAAAGTCCTCCTGTGAGAATCACAGAGGAATCAGTTTGACTAATATAGTGTCTAAAATATTAGCCTCAATAATACTTCGACGCCTAACTAAAGCTCGTGAAGAGCAGATTAGAGAAAACCAGGCTGGTTTTCGACCTGGACGTGGTTGTATCGATCAGATATTCACACTACGTCAGGTTCTAGAACACAGACACACATTCAGACGCCCCACAATGGTAGTATTTCTCGACCTTAAGGCGGCATTCGACTCCGTTGATCGTGAGGTTCTATGGCAGTGTTTGTCACTGAAAGGAGTACCAAAGAAGTACATTAACCTTATAAAGGCTCTCTACTCGAACACAACTGGTAGAGTGAGAGCTTATGGCGAACTGTCATCAGAATTGATTACCTCAAGTGGTGTTCGTCAGGGCTGTCCACTCTCCCCATTCTTGTTCAACTTTGTCATTGACGTACTTTTAGAGATAACACTCTCCTCATCTAAATTTACAGGGGTTGAACTTCTACCAGGAGGTTCACTTGTTGACTTAGAACATGCAGATGACATAGTTTTATTTGGTGAAGACGCTGACAAAATGCAGAGTCTTCTGACCACTCTAAGCAACAATGCAAGCATGTTCGGGATGCGATTCTCTCCCTCGAAATGCAAAATGTTGCTTCAGGATTGGGTTACATCGACATCCGAACTAGTGATAGGGAGTGAAGTAGTTGAGTGTGTCGACCGCTTCACTTATCTAGGAAGTCTCATCAGCCCTTGTGGTCTGGTGTGTGACGAAATCTCAGCACGGATACAGAAGGCTCGACTAGCTTTTGCCAACTTGCGTCATTTATGGCGTAGGCGAGATATCCGTCTATCAACCAAAGGACGTGTTTACTGCGCAGCAGTTCGTTCCGTCCTACTTTATGGCAGTGAAACATGGCCGGTAAGAGTAGAGGATATCCGTAGGTTACTAGTATTTGATCATAGGTGTCTTCGAAACATTGCTCGTATATCATGGGACCATCGAGTAAGTAACACAGTTGTTAGGAAACGGGTACTAGGTAAGGATGGCAAATCAATTGATGACGTAGTGAAACTTCATCAGTTGAGATGGCTGGGACACGTGTTACGTATGCCCAACGACCGACTGCCTCGACGTGCTATGTTCAGTGGTATAGGAGTAGGTTGGAAGAAAGCTAGGGGCGGCCAAACCAAAACATGGCACAAGTCCATGAAGTCACTGACAAGTGAACTGAGTCATGTTGGTAGGTGTAGACTACCTGGTTGGGGACCGCGAGATGATAGCAACCGATGGTTAGAGACCCTGAATGACATGGCCCAAAATCGTTTGCAATGGCGCAGGTGTATCCACTCTCTGTGTTCTCCCAAACTCTAATCTTCTGAATTCTTCATGTCCCTTTTTTCCTCTTTCCAAATTTCTTTCACTGGATTATACTCTTTAAGTAACATCTCCAAACCCTAATCTTCCCGATTACTGCTTATACTCTTATTACCTCTACCACTACGGGATTTGAATCGACAAGTGCATCTCTGTGCTAATGTGGTGTGGCAACTCGAACTGATGTACGTACGTACGAAGTTCTACGTTGTTACTGACTGACTGACTGCTTGTTGATATATAATTGTGATTTTTCATTATATGGCGCTATGTAGTTCAGTATTCGTAATTTGCTTAGCCGCAATTTTCAGTTTAAGTGCACCCAAACAAGAACAATCAATTTGATCTTTATACATTTTAGAAAAGTCAGTAGTAGTACAATCATTAATTTACGCATGATGGATGTTTCAAATAGTTATTTCTTGAATTCAGCATTTGAACATGTTTCGTAAAGATAAACATGCAGAAGGATGTAATTCACCTTTTTTCGAAAAAAACTTTACATGTACGAACTAAAGAATCGATGAAAATAATCAAAGTTATGTGGAGTTTAGAAATCAGACACAGTAAATTCCACATATAAGAAAGCCATCTTTTACTTATAGAAAAAATAATACAACCAGCCAATCAACTCACATACCAATGAAGACATATATAAGTCTATGTTTTCTTGTCTGTTCTTGATTTCTATTAAACCACCATGTCGATAGTTCGTAGAATATAAGCATACTTACTGTTTGTATTGAAAATACCCTAGTACTGAATGAATTTTCAAATAAGCAGCTCTATCCAATTTGACAGAATAATTATAAACATGAAAGTAAAGTAATGAACAAAGGATAAATGTCAAACTGTACAAATGCACGAATATAAATGGCCAACTTCCATTGAACAACACGTAGAACTAAATATTCTAGCGTTTAGAGTAGGCTAATCCTGTCAAAGTACACATAAACATGTTATTAGATAGTTTGAGCAATTCTCATTTACAAAAAGCATCTTTATATCAGAATTAGAACTAACAACGATAATTTACTATCGAAATTTATAGACTTTATTTTGCCATCAACTTTAGACAAAAGTCAAACTAGAACCAGTAAAGCAGTTATATACATACAAATACAGTAGGAAAGTTAATTTCGACCAAAACAAAAGAAAATTAATTATAAGAAGGGAATGTGTTATAAAGTGAATGAATGTAAACGACAACATACTATAGGTAATAACAACAACTGAAACATAATCATAAAAAGAGTAGCAAACAATTGGTGTTGAATTTTCTTCCTTCCCCCCCGCCAAAAAAACATCATCTATTATCAATGATACTGTAATTTAGTAGGAGATATAATTTTATTAAGAATATATCTTTTTTTTAATTATTGCACACACGAAAAACTCGGTGATCATATCACACAAAAGTTGGTTAGATAACAACAATAACTGTATAAATAATAAATAAAAAACACTCATCATTAACAAAGAAAATTAAATATATGTCATAATTATGTATATAAAAACTGAATGTGTTATACATACAGGTCACACATTGGACAAACACAACAATAGACTGGAATCAGGCGCAAAAAAGCCTCTATAAGAAGAAGATAATTGGTTTACAAAATCAAAATACATATAGGAAAAAGAAATGCAGTGTTTTACAAGGGACTAGATGTATTAAAATTTTCAATAATACTAATCCATATGGATGATTAGTATAGAGGCAAGTGACTAAAAGAAAATAATGATTCCAATTTTACAACGAACTTTTGAATGCGATATACACATCGAATATAAATGCATTAAAAAAAGGAATTACTTGGGTTATAACTACATTTTAACTTCTGGTTGAATATGTTTTTGATTCTTTTTCCTGTAATACAGAATTGTCTTGGTAATTTTTACAAGTACTTTCATGATTGTTAGAACATGATGGACTGTTAGACTGATTTTTTAATGATTCGGGTTCTGAAACAGAACAAGGCGTTGTGCTGTAGGGACTAACAGAAGCTATGGAATCTTTATACCAGTTTGGAAAGGGTGTTCGTGGCATAAGCTCTGAATAAAATAGAATATAGGCCTGAGCTGATGCTACTTCTGAGAAATCGCATAAAGATACATTAGCATCATTGCAATGCAACCAACACTCTGTAGAGTAGAAAATATGCAAGAGATAAATATTCATTGAATATTAAATGTATATTATACATAATAGCTCTATTTACGAGTTTATACTGAAATTTATGGGCGAGTAGACAGAGAAAATATATTAAAATTAAAAAGTAATCAAAAAGTAGTTGATGATATGGACCAACCTGGATTATCATTCAAACAGTAAGAGGTATAATGACCAGATTGAAACCCTCGCCCATGATGCACGACAACACCGGTCAAGTGATAAAGATACTTAAGTGAACTTTTCTCAAACTCTTTTGGCAAAGTGAATATGGACGACTGATGACAGTTTAAGTTATCGATAGAGGCATTAGGTTCATCTATATGATCAGATTTTGTCTGGTGTAAATGAGGCTGATGACATTCTGCTCTATCTACATCATTTAACACAAATTCACTCATATTCAAGATAAGAGGAAATGATACATGACATGTTAGTTTTTCTCTCTGTCTACCAACCCAACTGAAAAAAAATATAATAAAAAAATGTATGATTAAACAATGTAAAGTTTAGTACAGAGATTATTTATGTACTTAATATAACATTACCATCATAAACTGAGTTCAACTTCGAGTAATGGATGTTTATGATAGGTTCAGTGTTGATTATCACTGATTGAATGTAAATTTCCTCAGAGAAAGTACATAAAATACCTTTGAGTCCGGAATGGAGCTATTGTCAATATTTTAGTGAACGCAAACACAAGTACGGGACAACCAAATGTATTTGAACACAAAATTGCAGAATCCCTTAGTAAAATGTGAGAACCATGTAGCAAATATTTCATTTGCAGACTTGACGGTTCCTTGGTTTCCACACCAAACACTCTATGTTCTCGTTCTCTTCTCATCGATCCTCTTAACCGTCTGCCGTCAGGCATTTCACTTCAGATTGGTGATACATACTAATTATATCTGCCGACATCAGTAGCACACATCACGCTATTACCGTAATTGTTTTTTTATTGGTGTTTTGGAGTGGAATAACAGCTTAAACATATGTAAAATCTCTTTCATATTTTACGTTATTTCCGTTTATTTGTTTGCTTCCATTGAAGATACATTTGAGACAATAATAGAGAGGTCATATTTTCACAACTCTAAAAATAACTAAATTTAAGCATGGAATTGCCTGAAATGGTTGTCCTAATACGTCGTGACTTCTTAACACAAATGATGGATATTGAATCTCTCTTAGTTGATACACCATTAAAGGCTGCTTGACGATTAAGTTACCGTTATTCAATATTACAGCTGCCGAGATTAGATGTTTGACCTCAGCAACGAATTCACTAGCTAATCTGTTTGATAAGTTCAAATGGGTAACCCCTACTGCAAACAGTTGATATTCCTTAACGCTTACCTTAGTTACGATGATATGACTAGAGAAATGTACTTGATTCAAAACATGAACACCTGAAACAAAATAACCAATGATGGCGAGACATAGTTTAGTGTTGTATTGAGATGTTTCACTGTTCTGTAGTATTATTTGGTGAGAATCCTTATGAACGAAAGATCTGCTAGTTTAAGCATTCAAAATAATAGAAAAGTAAAAGAACTGGTGCACAGTTCCATTACAAACTGCGTTTTTTCCGTAGACCACATTTCATCTTGAAAAATTACAGTGATTGTATCTGAAGTTCACTAGCATAAATCGATTTAATTCGATAACGAACGAACCAATTCATATGTGCATTTTTAAAATGAAAGCTAAACTCAAAGGCTATAGTGGAGTCAACTACAATGACGATGATGAGAATGATTCAAAAAGTTGCTTAACATATATACAACTTTTATTTACTCTTATATATATATAAAAGATATACCGGAAGCGTTTGATATGTAACCGCAAAACTCGTGGGAGTTTAGAAAGGCGAATTGTTTGGGTTGCATGAGTTAATAATGAGTTCTTAGGAAGAGGAGTTGGAGAATTCTTAGGTGAATTGATTATTGCAGATTGAACAACGGATGGCTGAGTAATTTTGAATGATCTTTCAATCGGTGGATTAGTGTATTGTTCTTCAAGACCAGATTGAACAACGGATGGCTGAGTAATTTGGAATGATCTTTCAATCGGTGGATTAGTGTATTGTTCTTCAAGGCCAGTTACACTTGAAGTGGCGGATAATGGACTTTCTGACAGGGAAAAAGTTTCAGTTAACTCGCATGATGTACTGAAATCAGGGTAAGATAACTGAGGACTGCAAGATGGAGATGCGAGCCTGGACAGAGCGATAGATATAAGTTTATTCACTACAAAGTTAGAAAAAAACAGTAAAAATGTAGTCAGACTATTGAGATAAACGTCATAAAATAAAAAAGACAGCCAAATTATCTTTCAACGTAAAACTGACAGGCACACAAATCAGGATTATAACCAGCAATCAGTTTTTATTTTCAATAACAATCAATATCACAAGATTCATGTTAAACCCCTTGTGAAATATAATGCATTTGTAAAATTATATTCAAACATTTCAGATTAGTAAGCATTCAGAGTATCTAACCTAAAATTATTGGTTTGTAACATACAAAAAATTTTTCTTACAGAAACAACTCTAATACTTTTGCTATTATTCATCCTGTCTGAACTAACGTTTGACCTATATTTAATTAAAAGCCCTGCTGCGTAAAACTAGCTCATATTTTTTTACAGACTACCTCCAGTGAATAGGTCTATGATTTTCAGACCTACAGGCGACTGAAGCGAAACTCCCAAAAGTAATACCAATACCTGAGAAACGGTTTGCAACAGTTTATAGAAGCGATATACCTCCTACAAATTTGACAGCAAGAAAACCATGTCTATGAAGGAAAGAAATTTCAAAAGTTCTGTGATCACGTTTGAAAACAAAGTGAGAAAATAAGTAAGTCAGTTTATGCTATGCATATAGCTGAGAACAAACAAGTGACATACATGTGACTTAATGCTGACAGCTACTAAATAAGTAGTATTAAAAGTTACTATCTGCCAACTAACCTTACGTAACATGTAGGCCTATAATCCATATTACTGATTAAAATTTTACCGGTATTCAGACATAAGAGAACACATGTAGAAAATTTTACCATCTAATATGCTCGTTGAAAAATGTCACATTTCGGGTGCCCTGTATGACGGAGAAACGAAAATGTAAAACTACATAGTCTCGTGTATATTATTCCACTTGACTATATGGTATGGATATGTAAGAGCGATAATTCATGCTTTTTTGTATTTACCAACATTAACGACGGGATTAATTCAAAACAAAAAAAATTAAAAATAGAAATAAATCTAACAAAACATACCAGGATAAGACAAATTGCCTAAATGATCATTTGAATCATAACTGCACTGATTGAGTGCCGATCCCGAGAAATCTGTTTCTTCTTTATTTATTTCTGAACACTGATTGCATTTAACACAGGCATAACTGGCTCCATCAATCGGAGAGGGGCTAACAAACTGACGAAGCAAATCTACAATATCAAATGTACACGACTCATCGGAATGGCATTTGGTGGGTAGTGAAAGACTAAGTTCATAAATCGGCTCTTCAGTACAAGCGGTTACATGACAAGTAGAGCATTGTATATGACTCACGGAATATCCACGGAAAGCTCGGGTGATAAAATCACAACCACTGACAGAGACAGACATTGGAGCACTATGTAGTTCTGCTTGTAAACGGTCAAGCAACAAACTCAAAAATTCCTGGGCATCTTGTTGCTTATATCCTTTAAACGTTGGAAGGGTGGCCCAAACAACACTTAAGAGGTTACTTGGACTGACAATAGACCTTTGACCTGACCATAATAGCTTAAATAAATTATGCATTTCATCATAAAGAGAAGGTATTGATGATACTTGCGGATTAACTAGCGATGAGGAAGGTGATTGCTGATAACAGTCATACATAAACTTCTGACACTGGCCGCCATTTAAACCACCAAAGGATTTGCACTTAGGAATGATATTCTTTTTTACAGAAACTAAGTTGGGCTCACAACAAGGACCAAAACCATTTTCTGTATTTGGAGAACATGAAGGTGTTTTGGTAGGTAGTGAACTCCATAAATTTTCATAGCTGTGAGTTATTATCACTTGATTTTTCGAAAATAGTGATGTAATTGCTTGTCGCTTGACAGGACACACTGGGTCTGCAATCGATAAATCATCAAGGTGGCTGCGGCGTTTCCTTGAATGAGAATTAATTTCACTCAACGTATGGTTCATGATATAATTAGCGAAAGGAGCAGTGTGACTAAAATCAAGTTTATTAACAACTACGAAATCGTGTTACCGTAAAATCTGCAATATCGAATTCATGTAACAGGTGTTTCCCAAGTTGCGCAAACCTGTAAATGCAGGAGTTAGTGTCAGAGGTATCTTTCTGCTTTTTGTCTTTTTCTTGGGGTTAACTGTGTTAAGCTAATAGCCTTATATATAGCTGACTAGTAATGACTTACTCTCGACTCAGCATACTTTGACCACCAAAGATGTAATGCCCATGAAAGACAAGAAATTCTTGAAACTTGTTGATTTATGAGAAGTGTTACCTGTTTCGGACAACTGCAGCATGTATATCATCTGCCTTTAACAGACGTAAACCGTTCCTAAGTAACTGTAAAAACTAGAGTGGCATTCTTACTTTTCAGCGTTTTTACCACGGAACCTAAGAATTCGTCTGCCTCTTTTTTGTTTGAGAAGCTGGCCGAAATCTTGAGTAGTGACTGCATCCAAAGCCATGCGGAGAAGTTTAATATCACCCGGCGCGTTATCATTGAGAACAAAGTCATCACATATATAACTTAATATCAAACGGTTAGAAGAAACAGTACTTACCAGTATACAAATTTTTCATTCACATCTATACACAGAGGATGCTACCCTTCAATAAAATAGTGAAGTAGAAAACTTACATTTGTTTGTCGAAAGTGTTGCAACGCATGCTCAGAAATATAACGGCCACATGCAAAGTTGCTGCATGACAGACAGGCCCAAACACTTTCTGTTGTATGGCAACTGCTGCAATGCCAGTGTTCTGGGGAGAGTATTCCTAACTGGATGCTTGTCTTTACTTTGAGGACGTGTTTGCAATTATCCGTCATTAAAACTTGATACCATAAGCAATACAAAAAACGAACTATGTAAGATATGCGTGTACAGATCGCAAATGTAGACAAACAATATCTAACTGCAGTATAAAACACAAATATTGTCCAAACATTGGGGAAACAATTACTGTACCTTAGGTATTCGACAGCCTATTTTATATTTTTGCTTGAGAAATATTTCCGTAGGCAACTTAATACCATCCAGCTGAATAAAATATTCAGATTATGGAGATTTTCACATGAGATAACAGCCCTGAACAAATTTTGAGATCTCTCAGCCAGTTATATGCAACGTAGAACCTGGAACATATGTGTATCGATTCAAGTTCCCACACCAAACTAATTGCTGCCTGACTTTAAACCACAGGTGCCATTTGGATCGTTGTATTTATTTATTGTTACAGTAAAACAGAAGGTATTATTTTATCTACATGCTGTAAAGCCTATTGACGCTGTAAAATTCTAGACATTCTGCATTCTCAAAAGCCGGGACTAAGTTGACACACAACCCTTGCGTCTATACAAGTACGGCAACTCGGTGGCCACAAAACAGCTAGCGCGCTTACAACCTGCTAACACTGATTCAAGAAAAAAATTATATAACTACTAACTATCGATTGAATATTGTTATAGTTATGCCTATTTTTTATGGCCCTACATAGCACTTGCTACCACCAGGCCAGAATTTCACACTTAAAGAGTAAAACTATACGACAATGAGTTTATAAGCTAACTCCTGTAGTTCAATATATAAATATCAGTAGCAACGATGTTACTTTGATAAGTAATAAGTCTGTGAGACTTACGTACGCAAGTACCGAGCGCGACGTAGAGAAATGCTGAAGTTAATTAAATAGGATAAATTTGTGACAAGTTCTCTGACAAGATTCCGAAACCAGGATGACATGTGTGACCAGTTAACAATCAAACAACGATATACTGATGTTTAGATTGGGTTTCACTATGCTCTAGTTCGCAACTTTGGCGTAAATTTGAGAACCTTTCACATAATCACTGCAAAAATGCTATTTCTCAGCTTGTCATAATGATAATGGTCACGAATAATGATGTCGTACATAAGTAAATATTAGATATTTAAGCTGACTTTATCAGATATATTACATACTTCTTAGTCTATATCAAGATGAAAATGTCATACAAGTGCCTTTTAAACTGTATCCACATATAATACCTACCTTTTTACTGATACTTAATTCAAACAAAAGATTATCACAACAACTCACTTCAGAAACGAAAACCAGAAAACTGATAATCAAAACCAGCGCTTAATAAATCCCATTCTGTGTCAAGGGTACAATTAACCGTCGACGGTTAAGACTTCGGCTTAACATAATAAGTGACAAAAGCGTGACCTGCTTATAATGGAAGATTTTTTCATCATTCATTACGAGGTAAATTGTTTTAACCAGCAATAAATTTATTAGAACCTATGTGAAATAACGTAACTATGGATATAAATAAGTCCTCAAATTGAATAGTTCTGTAAGTCATCGACATTGATACTGACAGCATCAGTTTAACTGTACAAACTCTGGCTGAAGGCGCGTGGGCACACATTCATGCGGTATCGCGAGTGGATGCGCCGTGTTACAACACATTGATAACCTTCTAAATTTTTCATTTCACTCACTTATCCCAGGGTTCCGGTTTGACTAGGTTGATTTCCTATGGATATAACGAATTTGTAGACAAATGCATAGTCAAACCCTGAATATCTATGTCATCTCTATTATGTTTACTTGAAGTTGTTATTCATCTAGTTGGTTTAACTTGATGCTATTATTATAGTGACGGGTATATTCGATGATACTTCTGACGATAAAGCAAAGGTCGAATTTTCTACTTACTAGTAATCACATGAGATTCATCATCTATTGTTACTGTGTATAATTTGTAAAAACGGACAAAGTCAGGCTTCCGTTACTATTCCAATAAACACGATCTCAGTTATCTATTCTGGTTTATTGGTCACATCCTGTGAATGAAGAATATATAAGTGTTATAACGTCCCTATAGGCCATTCTACATCGCCAACATCGAAGTGACAACCATAAAACTCTCAATCGACGTTGGCCCACCAACAATTTAAGAGCTCAGTATGACCATCAGACAAAGCAGTGAGACCAGACAACATTCCAGAACAGGCACTGACAGCAGACGTAGCAGTAACTGTAAAGATACTCAACATTCTCTTCAGCAAGATTTGGGACGAAGAACAAGTACCAACAGACTGAAAAGATGCACACCTCATCAAAATACCAAGAAAAGGCGATCTCAGCAACTGTGATAACTACAGGGGCATCACTCTTTTCTTAATACCAGGAAATGTCTTCAACAATGTTTTGCTAAACAGAATGAAGGACACCGTAAACGCATAACTTCGAGATCAGAAGGCTGTATTTCCGTAAGGGTCGATTGTGTATAGTCCAAATCGCAACACTACGCATCATTGTGCAACAATCAATTGAATGAAATTCCCCACTCTACATCAATTTCATTGACTACAATAAAGCATTTGATAGCATGGACGGAACAACACTACGGTGTGTTTAAGAAGATAGTCAATATCATACGGAATTATTATGATGGATTAGACAGCAAAATCGTACATGGAGTACAGCTCACAGACTCGTTCGAGGTAATGACCAGTGTTAGGCAAGATTGCGTACTCTCATCTTTTCTCTTTCTCCTGGTGATCGACTAGATCATGAAGACATCAATATCTGAGGGGAGGCATGAGATACACTGAACAGCTAGGATAAAACTGTACGTTCTAGACTTCGTGTATGGTCCGGCTCTTCTATCGCACACGGAACAACAAATGCAGGAGAAGACGACCTGTGTAGCAGTAGCTTCAGCAGCAGTAGGTCTCAAAATACACAAAGGGAAAAACATGATTCTTCAATAAAACGCAACACGCACCAATCAAATCACATTTGATGGAGAAGCTTTGGAGGGTGATAAATTTGTGACCGGTGAACAGAGTGAATTTTTGGTCTTCTACGTAGTGCCGAAATTGCTGTGCAGCACAATACTCAATAAGAAAATAACTCTAGCGATTCCAAGAACCTATACAAACTTGCATCATAATTGTTTCGTTCTTCGCTACTCAACCATGTGGAACAGACTGCTAGTGAAACTACTACCTGGTTCAGAAGTCTGCTTGATGATTTTCTTCCCGAAAATGGATCGTGTCATCTACTGAATATCAATGGGTTTAATAATGACTTATACAAACAAGGTTCGTCATCTATCTAATTGACTGAAAAGCAAAGTGTAATCTTTGAAACTGCTAACGTCTATTTGATCTTGTTTTCATTCATCTTAATATGTGAAGCCTGCTTATGTTCGAAATTATAATTATTACTGTTACTAATATCATTATTGGTCCCTCGACACATTAGATATTCTTTTCATCACTTCTTGTCATTTTAAACGTATTTGATTTCTGATTGTCCTTTGAAATTAATTGTGACTTTCATAGAATCATTCTTAGTTATTATTGCACAAATGTTTATGCTAATATTCGGTTTCACTCTGTATACTATTACATAAATCTACATGCATTTATCCTAGTGCACTAAAGGATTTATTTTATTTTTCTAAATTGTTGGTTTACTTCAGAGGTCGATAACTATTCCACAATTATTATTTTTATCATGGTTGAACCTTTTCACTAGGTGTCCACTTCTTTTCTCTCTCTTTTTCCCTTCTAAATAAATATTGCTCTTAAGATTACGAAGTTTGTAATCAAGACAATAACTTGTGTACATCTAAATTAACTTCTCAGACTCGTTTTATCTTCACTATGCATATATGATTTTGATATTTCGTTATCCTTTTCACTTAGTTGAGACTTTCATAGCATCGCTCCAAATTATGACTGCAGAAACATTTATCCTAGCGTCATATCTTACTAAAATAATAAGTTGTTTTTTCTTAATTATTTATTTTATTTTTGTTATTAATTTGACGATACATGCATATTCGTTTATTCTTGTTTTGTGTTCATAAACACGCCTATTAAACTATTTGCTTATTTCACGTCTTTATTTCTATTCCCGTATTTTCTTCCTTTCCTTCTTTAAACTCGATTCAGTATTCTTCTCAATTACACATAACCCGATTTATTATTATTATTCCACTATCATTATTATTTCTCTTTTTCAAATATGGAAAATATAATGCTAACATGATTGAAACTTGTGTATTATTGCATTTTTCAAGAAACCTGAAATGTTTTCTTCACAACACTTATGTACCCATAAAATGTTTGCGAATAACACAGCACGCGCCAGTCAGGAAGGTCCAGGACAGAGTGGGTTTGAGAATTCTCGTTGGCAACCTTGGTTCCAGCGGGGGTAACGGTAGTAACAAATTAAGCAACACTACGTTGAAACTTGACCCGGATTACCTTTCAGTAACAACGGTGCCATCATGTGCAGGGAAACCTTCGTTAATAAAGTGAACTCAAAAAAGAACTCAGAAGTTACATTTATTTCATAACAATCACTATCATTGTGTTGAATAATTTACCGATTTGTTGTAAATGCATTGTGTTACCGCTTTGTTTTATCCATAAACACACACTTTGGTTTGTAGTGTTATTAGTCTGCAACGATAAATAAATCCCTAAGATCAATAGCTCTGCAAGTACTCGACATTTAATGCTAACTGCATTACTTTTACTGGACTCATCTATCTGAAGATGCTCTGCCGTGCGTCTGCCCTAGATCACGACTGGGTACACCGTGCTACACATCCCTTTCAACTGCTACCAGCTTAGAACAAAGGTCCCTCAAAACATTGATAGTCTTCTAAATATACTTTCGCACTCCTTCATTTCTGCATTCTGACTTGAGTGGGTTGGTATACTTCGATTATAAAGGTGTTACTGGTCAATGAGTTGTCAAACTCAGAATGCTTGTGGCACCTTTAATTCTTTTTGGTATATTAATAACTTTGAGCATTATTAGATCCTGATCACGTTCTTTTGTTGGGGTCCACAACAAATCTGGTGGGTCCATATTTTTCGTTAAAGCCATTATTTTGGGTTCATATTTAACCAACTAGATGTTTCTTTGTAGATCTGTTAATACTTTATTAGAACAACACATATAAGCGAACAATTGTTTTCAATTAGATTGTCATCAGGCTTTACTCTAATATACATGAATATTTATACGAAAATGTTAAGCCAATCAAGGCAATATGAGTCAATAATCACAATGAAATAGAATAAGCTTCTACACATAATAGGTAAAAGTACAAGTTTATAGTAGGAAGACAGGTGAACTGATAATAGTAAGAATAATAAAATACAATAACAAAACTCTTATCAATAGTTAAACGTTGGGAATAGAAGGTCAAACATGGGTAAATAGACTACGAATAGTAATCACAAAACATTAAAATCAATACGTAATAAGATGTGTGTAAATAATTAGATAGTGAAGAATACGAAGAGGCGGAAAATTACAAACAAATAATGGATATGGAAATAAGGTTAACGATAACACAAATAGAATAAAGTAAATAATGATAATAATAAAATTTTAAAAAAGAAAAAAGAAAAAATCGTTAGTTAAGTTGTAACCGGCCATGGAAGGGATAGGGGGGTCACGTATTTCTTCTGTACGAATTTCAATGGCTTCACCTATATGTAGGAGACGGGAACCGACTCCGTCGGGAAATGATGGAGGTATACGATAGATAACTCGAAATGATCTACAGCATGACCGCTATCAATGAGATGTGCGAAGATAGAACTGCGAATAGATTTTATCTGGCCCTTTATGTACCAATTTGGTAGATGTTCACTCATTCGTTGGTTAAGTTGCCTGGTAGTACGCCCGATATAGCTATCTCCACAGGAGCAGCTGAATTTGTAAATGCACATGGAAGAGGCCAACTCAGGTAACTTATCCTTCGTTTGAGTAGACATCGTTGGTCGACAAGAGAAGGTCAACGCAAGTTTGGCTGCGTAGAATGTCCTGGTTATTACTTTGGTTAACCTATATTTCAGAGTATCACTAGCCACATCCCCGTTGAATTGTGTTTTCATGTATAAAGGTTTCTTACGAACAGTCGAAATCTCCGACTTCTTTATTATATCATACATGTACTTCTTAATGAAAGCGCTGGGGTAGCCGATCTCGGTCAGTGAATTGTTGATAAATTCAAGCTCCTGACTTAGAGTATCTACTGTACACATCATTTTTGCTCTGCTAGTGAGACATCTGACCAAATTTCTTTTGTAACGAATGGGTG